AACAAGAGGCAGCTACAACCGGAACGCAGATACATCTTCAAATCCATCTTCCATCGAACACAGCAACATCGGCAGCCAACATCTGCATGCAAGGTGCAGAAATGTAGTATCAGTACAACCGACCCCATGTACTGAGTAAGTAACAAACCTAACCTTAGGTTGAAAGCAGTGACGAGCTTTTACCAAGGTCGGGTCCAAAAATCAATAGTCCACAACAATATCCAGAAAACAAATCTCATAACAACATAATTGAGGCAGCACAATGAATAACTCAATAATAAAGTGCTCAGTTCGTTCACAGTTCCGGAAAAATAAATATTTTTCTTTTTAAATATAATAGTAAAACTCAATTATTTTTACTAAAATCACCAAAATATGAGTAAGTCTGAAATCTGTGATTTCCCAAATTCCTTTAAATAATAAATAAGATGTTTCATTTTTCCTTCCGGATAACCCGTGTAAAACAAATGCATCACTATGCCCATCTGTCAAAAATGTGTGAGAAATCAAGAATGATGTGATGTTGTACAGCATGAGAAAAATAAATCTCTATGCTTGTATGTCATGTGTGCATGCCAACGCGATGCAACTCAGTGATAAAATCATAAACAGCCCCTCGGGCAGAATATCACTCATATATAGCCCCTCGGGCAAACCTCACAGTCACTCGTGTCACTCGGGCATACCTCACAATCACTCATGCCTTCCAGTCACTCAGCACTCGAACTCAGTAGGTACCTGCGCTCACTGGGGGTGTGTACAGACTCCGGAGGGGCTCCTTCAGCCCAAGCGCTATAATCTGCACGGACAACTCACGTACTATAATATCATATCAGAATCTGCACTGACAACTCACGTGCCATAATAATAAAGTATGTTGCAGACGGGCAGCCCCGATCCACACTTATCCTCACAATCAGGCCCTCGGCCTCACTCAGTTATCAATCTCTCCAGTCTCTCAAGCTCACAATGTCATGAAAAATAGCCCAACAACAATGATATGATGCATCAACAATAAATAAGAGAGACTGAGGTATGATATGAAATGAATAAATATGACTGAGTGAACAATTACAATTTGAACATATTATTCAACCACAAAAATGACCCCAATGGGTACCATCAATAACAACATATGCCTAAGCATGATTTTTAATACGAGTCTCAACTCAATTTTCTCTAACACATAGAGAATGTACGGATATCAACAGATTATTCAACTATACAGTCCCATGGAATTTGACCAAGTCACAATTCGTACGGTGCACGCCCACACGCCCATCACCTAGCATGTGCGTCACCTCCAAACAATTCACACAATACGTATATTCAGGGTTCATACCCTTAACTCTAAAATTAGAAGAGTTACTTACCTCGAACAAGCCGAATCCAATATCGAGCAAGCTAAACAATGCTTCCATAAATTCCATTCAGCGCGTAACAACTTCCGAAGGACTCGAATCTAGTCACAATTAATTTGATTCAGTCAACCCAAATTATAGGAATTTATTCCATATCAAAATACTAATTTTTTCACAAAATCCGAAATTACACTCAAAAATCGCTCGTGAGGCCCATATCTCAGAACCCGATAAAAGTTACAAAATATGAACGCCCATCCAACCACGAATCCAACCATATAAATTTCACCAAATTACGACATCAACTCGACCCTCAAATCTTCAATTAAAGTTTATGAAGATTCCTACCATTTTTAACTCAATCCTTACCCATTTGAACTTAACAATCTTTCCACAACCTTATTGGTATGTATACATAATACTCTTACGCCCAAGAATCATACTATTAATCACCCATTTTTACTCCAAACCCGAAATTGAAGAATTGAGGAATGAAATTCTTACCTCTTTGAACCCCTAGCAAGATCCTTGTGAAATCTTCGAACCTTGAACAAGAATTGATGGATAAATGACTAAGTCTTCACTTTCTCTCTCTAAAATGCTCTCACCTTTCTCTAAAATATCAGATGAAACCCTTAAAAAAGACCCTTAATAGTGTTTTATAAGAATGGGGTCGGGTTTATAAAATCAGAAAAATGAAACTCCGGAACAGGTTCTGCGGTCGTATATGCGACCACATAATGGTTATGTGGACCGCATATCGGTCGCATAATCGGTGTCCAATACTGGCAAACATCTGTCTGTGTATGTGGTCGCATAGTCGACCGCAGATTTCATCCAAACTGGCCCTCCACTGCCTCACTTCTGCGGCCATTATGCGGACATCAGAAACATGTCTTTTCGCCAAAAATTTCCTTTACTTCCCGGTGCATTGTTCAACCCAAAAAGTCCGAGCCGCTTTGTACTAATTGATATATCTCGACACCACAAAACCTTAATTTTCTTAGCAAAATTCTCTGGGTCACTACACATACGTTAACATCTGGTCAACCTTTTCAACTTAAGTTTTAAACCTTGGACTAAGTGTTCCAATTCATTCCACAACCTCACCGAACTCGAACCAATTACCCCGGCAAGTCACACAACAATTGTAAAGCCCAAATTGAGTAGTAAAAGAGAAAACGGGGTTGTGATACTCAAAACGACCGGTCGGGTCGTTACAATATAGTTTCATTAAAATAGAAATATTAATTATTAATCCCTAAACATAAGCAATTTGAATGGAAAGTCAATAATTCTTTGTACAAAAATCATGCCTTTTTTCTCTTTATCTATTAGCTTCCTTCTTTTTCTTCATCTTCTTAATTTTATTTTCTGCCGAAGCCAATATATTTTCTAAATTTATTTCATTCGTTTTCTTTTTAATTATCTTTCTTAAATTTTTCTCTTCCTTCTTTCTTCCTTTCTTAACATAAAGATCTTACTTCGATAATAATATATGTTAATATATACAAAACGTATATATAAAAAATAGACATTGAATTAAAATATTTAAAATATACAAATAATATACATAAAAATACATCTTCAATTAAGATGACACTTAGACATGTGAAATATACATAAAACATATATCTTAAATTTAATTAAGATGGCATATAAATATACAAAAAAATATACATAAAAATACATCCTGAATTAAAATGGTACTTGACATATAAAATATATTTGAAATATACATTAAAAATACATCTTAAAATAAGTTGGCACTTCACAAATAAATATACAATAATTATATACATAAAAATACATTTTGAATTAAAGTGATACTTGATATACAAAGTATTAAAGACATATAAATCAATATATCTTGAATTTAGATGGCATTCACATATGCATCAGATTTTCAAAAATGGAGTGAAGAAGATGAATGTTGGAAAGAGAGAATGGAGATGGACAAAAAAAGTACTTCCTGTGATTAGTGAGTCAATTAATTTATTAAATATTGAGCTTAAATTTTATAATATGCTAATAATAAAAAAAATGCTCTTTATTAGAAAAAGATCAAGCGTGTAAAAAAATCCAAACTTTAAGGGGTCGATGTATTCGGCCTATTGTATTGAGCTTCTTACATAAGTGGCCACTCGGCCAAAACATATATCAGTTGATGTCTCATAGTATTACATTACAATTTTTTGCCAAAAACAAATAATATATGCTAACCAACAAATAGTTTTCTGCTCATAATACATTGAAGAAATATTCCTCCAAATTCACATTCTCCAATGCAGATACTTTCCAACTTCCGAGAAAGATTTATGTTATATATTAGACATACACTCAATTTAATGAATTTGCTACACAATCTTTATAATTTAACAGGTTATAGTAAATTATGTACGACTTTTGCTAATAATATTATTCCAAATAACAAAACTAAATTTTTGTAACCAACTATAGTAAAATTAGACTATTACATAAGTACTCTTAGCCTCAAAACATCAACTTGTAAGAAAAGGAAGTAATTATAACTCTTACACAATTCGAATGCTGAAATAAAATAAAATATTTTAGAATCCTAACGTACTAGTAATAATTAAACTACTACTACAAAAAAATCAACTAAACCTACTAATAAAGTACGAAAAAGTACTCTAGTAAATCATTAATCTTCTCTTCATACTTTGAAGTCCGGAAATATCTGGATGTCTACTAGCAAAATAATCCTCCGTAGAAGGATTGCAAATAAAAGTGAGTCCAAGTCTCACACAAAGTGCAATTGCAGAGATTTTGACGAATATATCTAACAAATGTGGTAAACAATTTGGTGGTTTTATTGCAAGGGAACACATGACACTGATTATTAATTTATATACAAAATAGTCTGTACACGTTGGATAGATAAGGTTAAGATAAAAGAATAATATATATGCTTGTATACCTCATACAACAATCTACACACGTTAGATAGATAAAAGTGTCTGGGATACAAAATATATATAAATAAACTGTTACTATACAAAATATATATAAAATAGACTGTCACTATACAAAATATATACAAAATAGACTGTCACTGTACAAAAATATACAATATACTATCACTATACAAAATATATACAATAGACTGTCACTATACAAAATATATACAAAATAGTCTGTCATTATACAAAAAATATACTAAATAAACTGTCACTATATAAAATATATACAAAATAGACTGTCACTATACAAAAAAATATACTAAATAGATTGTGACTATATAATTTATATACAATAAAATGTCACTATACAAAAAATATATAAAATAGACTGTCACTATACAAAATATATACAAAATAGTCTGTCATTATACAAAAAATATACTAAATAAACTGTCACTATATAAAATATATACAAAATAGACTGTCACTATACAAAAAAATATACTAAATAGATTGTGACTATATAATTTATATACAATAAAATGTCACTATACAAAAAATATATAAAATAGACTGTCACTATACAAAACATATATAGAATAGACTGTTACTATACAAAAATAATACAAAATAGACAATCACTATACAAAAAATATACAAAATAGACTGTCGCTATACAAAAATATACAAAATAGATTGTCATTATACAAAAAATATAAAAAATAGATATTTTGGGCTATTAAATGTAATATGTTTAGGCCGGAGGGATATTTTGTGTCAATGAGGAAAAACATAGGCTATTAAAATTTTGAGGGGCTATAGAGGGTCATTTGCTCTATTCTGTTTTACACTTTCAACTGATGGAACTAATTGTATGGGCCAAGCCTAATAAAAAAGATGGGCTCAGCATTCTTAAAGGCCCAAGTAAGAAGGTCCGAACTTGATTGTCACACTCTTCATTTCTAGAAGATTATGAATAATGTTCCAGAAGGTTACAGAACCAAACATTCTTCCACAATTTGATAGGAGTATTCAAGCAAACATGAAAAAAATCTTGAAGTTGCCGGATTTCCTCCAATATATATATATATAACTCACTTCTCTTGTGTGCCAAATCAGCAAATATCTGTTAACAATCGAAGCAATCTCCGACTCTCAAAAGCCCTCTCAGTCAAGAATGTCTCTTATCCCAAGCATTTTCGACATGTGGGATCCCTTTAAAGGTTTTCCCCTTTCCAGCAATTTGGCCAATGTACCCAGCTCGGCTCGCGAAACCTCTGCCTTTGCCAACGCTAGGATTGATTGGAAAGAAACTCCAGAAGCGCACATTTTCAAAGCTGATCTTCCGGGGCTGAAGAAGGAAGAGGTGAAGGTGGAGGTCGAGGAAGGAAAAGTGCTGCAGATTAGCGGAGAGAGAAGCAAAGAGCAAGAAGAGAAGAATGACCAGTGGCACCGTGTTGAAAGGAGCAGTGGCAAATTCCTTAGGCGATTTAGGTTGCCGGAGAATGCCAAGATGGATCAGGTGAAGGCTAGTATGGAAAATGGTGTGCTCACCGTTACAGTTCCCAAAGAGGAAGTGAAGAAGCCTGAGGTCAAAGCCATTGAGATATCTGGTTAATTATTTCTTTCCTCACAAATTGCAAGTGTCTCCTCTATTATAGATCATAATGAATAAATTGTGTCTCTGTAAGCTATGCTTCTTATAATTTATAATGAATCGTACTGTATTATTTGATAAATATTATGTTTGAATAAATTGTATTGTTTTACCAATCACACGCCAACAATATAAAGAATAAACTTATTAATAAAAAATAGGATATGGAGTAGAATTATTATATAAAAGAGTAGGGTAAAAAATAAAATATAATTATTTAAAAATAAGAAAGGGTAGAATGTGATAAAAAAGCAAGGTAATGACGCCACTACACTAAATATGTCGTTCTATAAAGTGCATTTTTCGTCGCTACATAACCACGAATTTAACGATATAACCACGAATTTAACGATACGATATAATAAAATTTAAGTAACAATCAAAACACAATACTATATAATACAATAGACAAGTTGTCAGTCTGCGCTGTATATCAGTCAATTAACTATAATCATACCTGATGTTATTTGGCTACTGAAACAAAGATGCTAATCCTTGTTATACTTATTGATGATGCGCCAAGTATTATCAAACTGATTAACTTGTATCCACAGTGCAGTACATAATAGGTTTTAACATTACTAGAAAAAAGCCTGACAACCTGGAGAAATAAAACCAGTAAATTGTTATCATAATTAACAAATAAATGTTCTCAATTGCCGCTAAATCAAGGATTTACAGGGTAAAGCACCACCTTCGTCCATAATTTCCCCCCTCCCAAATTCACATTAGAAACACCAAAACATCACCGAAAAACCCCAAGTAGCCGAAACACAGGCCTTAAGTAATTCAACAACTTACAACAGCAAGGAGGGACAAACACAATAACTGACTACAGAAATCAACCTGAAATGTCAATGGACTTCATTTCCGGTTTGTTGGCGTTCTCTTTCGGGACCGTAACAGTCAAAACACCATTCTCCATATTAGCCTTCACCTGATCCACCTTAGCATTCTCCGGGAGCCTGAAGCGCCTCACAAACTTACCACTGCTCCGCTCCACGCGATGCCAGGTGTTACCCTTATCTTCCAATTCCCTCTGCCTCTCCCCACTGATTTGCAGGATCCGATCATCTTCCAACTCGACCTTCACCTCTTCTTTCCTTAGCCCAGGGACGTCAGCCTTGAATACATGTGCATTTGGGGTCTCCTTCCAGTCAAACGATGTCGTATCGGATGACGATGATGGGAAGTTTGAACGGAACTGGTCGGAAATAGAACGGAACAACGGCCATCCCTCGAATGGGTCCCAAGCGTCGAGAGAAAATGGATCGAAGACGCTGGATCGGCGGCCAAAGAAACTTGGTATGATTGACATGATTGGTCGAAATTGCTATCTTTAGTAGCTTTACTTCGGATTCTATGGCGTTAGCGATGGGAGTGGGCGCTATATATGCGTGGATTAACTGCCCACACTCGGGAGAGTTCTACTTCCAGAATGTTCTGAAGCCACTACACGGTGTTGGCTAATTGCTCAAAAGGACAAAAGTCTGTACTATTTCTATTTTACCTCATATTGTGAAAGTTCTTCTTTCTTAGTTTTCCCTGCCGTTTAGCTTTTTATTTGTTAGTTTTCATTTTCTAAATAAGGAACCATTTCTCCTTTATTGCTTCGTCCTTCTTGTTGAGGGTTCATTATATTTAGATATCTGCTATGCAGAAGAAACATTAATGCGACAATAATAATAATAATAATAATTATTATTATTATTATAAGCAACAGTAATGCAAGTTACCCTCTCACAGCTTCAAATAAAATCAAGGCCAGAATTGGCAAACATATGGTAACATATTTTGGCACTTTACAGGTGAATTAATGTTTGTTTACAGTAGAACTACTGATTGAAATTTCACAAAGCATGCTCAGCTATCACATTTAAATGTGTAACAAGTTAACAAGATATCTAACTGAAAAATCACCAAATAAGGTACCTTTACATGCCCAAATTTCTCGAGCTGACGCCAATTTGTTGCTTGGCTATGATGTTAGTTCGTATACTATCCTGGCAAATATGTCTGAATATCTTTGTATAAGGTAAAATCGATTCATAATAAATGGTCGAATGATAGCATGACATGTGGAACCGAAGACAGACAAAAGGTGAATCAAGTAACAATCAGTACCGGGAACAACAACTGCAATTGACATCGGGTAAACCCCGAAGGGGGAATGGCCAGCGGGAGCAGATCGATTATTTGTCATCGGATAGCATTCAATGAAAAATATTCTTAAATATTAGATGGGCAGTCGTTGCAGAGAATATTTGCATTCATGACCTGTAGTTACATATTCATCAATGACTCCTTTATTATCATTTAAGTGGGCTTGATACTAGGATCCTGTTTTCCTAGGTGTAGCTACAAATAGCAGGCTCAACGGTCATTATAGGACACAAAATTCTTGGCAAAATATATGTTGTATTTCATTTTCGCTCTCAATTAAACAACTTTATTTGCTCTTTTACATTGCTCTCATTTCTGTCCTCGGAGACACTACTCTCACAGCCACACTTGTCATCTTCTTCAATTTAAATTGCTAACTTACTTTTAATCTTATTTCATTATTATTTTTGGATCAAATCAGTTCGCTTATCTATAAACCAGTAACAAATTTAACAGTACCATTTTACGGATAAATAATTTGGCATCCACTGTGAGACTTAGACAGTTGCGTAATTGCTTTGATCCTTATGTTTGTTACTAACCTGTTTGATATTTTCCTTAGTAAAAAAATCAAAAATTGATGCTAATGATGTCAGCATCACGCACAACGTTGAGGGACATGAAAATTTGCCTCAACATGAAGATTCAATCAGCGACACCTGTAACGAAGGTGACGAAGCAACCCCGGTACGTGAAGGGCAGTATCCTAGGCATGTGCGGGAGACAACTCCCGATGATGCGGAGGAAGAATATGTCGTGGAAATAGTGAAAATATTGAGGGAGCAGCAGAAAGCCATCATGAGCCACCTCTCAAGAATAGATAGGGTAATGACGGAGTTGAAACAAGCATTGTCAGGTGCTTCCAATAATGCAAACGGAAGGGGCCCGGTTCATCCCGGCATTCTTTCAAATCAAATGGCTTAAAGAGTCGATAACAACACCCCAAGGGGTGAGGTTGGTTTCGACGGTGTCAGAGGGACAAGTAGTGGATCTGGTAATGATAACGGGAATGACCCCTTCAAAATCGAGCTCATGCGATTTATGAGGGAAATGAATGAACGGATGGATCAAAAGAGTTTCACGCCTGAATGGATCAGATTCTGGGCGCACCACCAGTTTTGAAAGGCCCAGATTCGAAAAAATACACGCAATTGCCATTAAGCTGAGCACAGCACCAGAGTTAATTCTGAAAAGGTTCAAGATACCGGACATACCAAAATACGACGGGACTTCGAATACGCATGAGCACATCACAACTTATACCACAGCCGTAAAAGGGAACGATTTGGCTCAACGTGATATCGAATCAGTTCTACTAAAAAAGCTTGGTGAAACCCTCACAAAGGGGGCCCTGACAAGGTATTCACTCTTACTCGAGTATTCAATTGACTCTTTTGAAATTCTTGTAAATTCATTCATTAAGGCCAATGTCGGGGCTAGAAAGGTCCAAGCCAGGAAGACAGACATATTTCGGATTGCACAAGGTGAGTCCTAATTGCTGCGGGAATTCGTCATGAGATTCCAGAAAGAGAAGATGTTGCTACTGGATGTACCAGACGAGTGGACAGCGGAGACATTCACAAAGGGTTTGAATCTGAGGAGTTCTGACATATCCCAAAAGCTAAAAGAAAGCCTGCTCGAATTCCAAGCGACCACATGGGCGGATATCCATAACCGTTATGAGTCAAAAATAAGGATAGAAGACGATCAGCTCGGGTTCCCTATAGAAGACGATCAACGATCTTCTAAAGGTCATTTCCTGCCATATGAGAGAACCGAAGGACATGTCAACTAAGGGTTCCAGTCCTCGGATAGGTTCTCTCCCGATAGAAGAACTTATCGTGGACGGAACAACAGGTCCTTACAAGAAAATAGGTATCGAGGGTGATGGTAGGCTATAATTTCGTGTTTTAGTCGCTTATTGCACTCTAATTCAGTGCACTTTACTTATGTTGAACTTTAATTAGGCGTGTTTTGCACTTATTGTTTGTTTTATGCCCTGTAGGAGTAATTCCGAGATATATAGATGTTGTGGCATGAATTCATGTTATTTCAGATTTTTGAAGTCTAAGTAAAAGCCCAAGGATTAAGTCGGGATCGAGTTCGGGGATCAACAGATGATAGTGGAACGAAACGAAGAATCGAGCAGGCATATTGCATATGGTCCAGTAAAATGCACATAACCTTTCGCTCAGAACTTCGTTTGGGCTTCACAATATATCGTTGGAAAGCTATTTAAAAGGTCTACAACTTTCATGCTTTATACTTTCCCAAATTCCAAACTTTTGCAACCCAGGTGCGCGACCAAGTGTGCTGTCGCGCACTGGGCGCACACTTAGGACAGAATGGTGTGCAAAGTGCGCGACCAGGTGTGCGGTCGCGCATGTTCTATCCGGGAAAAGCCCTATTTTTCTAAGAAAGGGCATTTTCGTCCAGTATTTGCTTTAGGGCGGATTAATTACCCAAAACACCATTTTTGACACACTTTTGACATACCTTAGACCTAGGGAAGCTTAGGAGAAGAAGGAGAAGCAAGAGCACAAGGATTTCATTCTTCCTTCCTCACTCAAATCCGGGTTTGGATTGTATTTATGTGTTCCTCTATTTTTGTTTCATTTATGAAGAACTCCTCCATGTCTATGGAGTAGAACCTTTTAGGTTTTGATGGATTTGGTGTATTGATGGTTGTTTGTGGATTATAACTCTATTTTTATGTATTTGAATCGTTTTTGTAAGATTTAATTATTGCATCTATGTTCACTTATTCTTGTAATCAAGAGAGGCATAACTTGTGATATATTTGCATTATATTGTTGGTTGAGTTCATAAATTCTTCTAAGTAATCGAAAGAGGCTAGTTGAATCTTTGATTAAACCTACTTAGGAAGATAATCGAAAGAGGTTCTCCTAAAGACCAATTCATTACGAATTCTTGCATATCTTCACCAAGCTTAAATTGGTTCATATTGTGAGGTTGAGACTTAATCGAGAGAGGAGTTTCTACTAAATATTTGTACTGATAATTAAGTGAATTCGAGACACTCACTTGAACATTAGAAGTGAATTATCTAGAGTTAGATCCCGAATAATTATCTTGCACCTATCCTATCAAAATCCTATTTCCCCCATTGATATCTTCCTTTGTTTAATCCTTGCTTCGATTGTCATTAGTCAATTAGCTATAGATTCTTAGTTAAATTTTATTATTAATCATATATTCTCCATTGTTGATCCTCCTGGATAGCAATCGAGCTACGAACTGCGATAATACTGTTTAAATCCAATCCCTGTGGAGACGATAACTATATTATACTATCTTTGACTAGCGAATATAATTTAAGTGTGTGTTTTGTGCTCGTCAAATTTTGGCGCCGTTGCCAGGGATTGGCAATCAATGGTGTTTGAAGTAGTTTGTAGTGTTAATTCAGGAATTAGCTTTTTTATTTTTTTCCTTTTATTTTTAGTTTGTTTGGTTAACTTCTCTTCAAGATTCTTTTGTTGAAGAAATCTTAAAGAGTATATTCTTGATATTGAACTCTAAAGTACACTTTCAGAAAACTCATTGCATTGTGATAGTGAATATATNCAACCAGCCTAAGAAAATGGTTGAAGAGTTAGTAGCTGAACGTTGGCAGCGGTATGCAAGGTCTTTTAAATGCGGTGGAAATCATCTATGGGTTGATTGTCAAGTAGGTAGGTATTCTTCCCATGGTTCATCTTTTGAACACTCTCACTTTGTCTCTAGTCCGTACAGGTATGATGATTTATATGGGTACAATTCTGACTCTAGTTATGATGAATACCCTTATTATGACTGGAATGAAAGCGAAGTGAGACAACTACCTCAAGTTGAGAATGGTAGTTTAGAAGAGCTTATGTACAAGTTCATAAATAAGGTGGAAGAGAGATTTACACAAGATGATGAGGCCATTAACAACCTAACAATGCAAGTGAGTCAAATAATAAGTACACTTTCAGAAAGCTCATTACATTGTGATGGTGAATATATGGAGGAGATACCCAGTGAGAATGAGCCTATCCGAGATGATGAACATCTACAGAGAGAGTTGTCCGCTCTACAAGGGGACTCTGTTTCAACTTAAATGATTAAAAATGAGGCTTTGGTTGATTATGAAGTAATACAAGAAGAGTTCAACAACCCATCCACCTATCCACAATTGCAATTTTTAGTAGAAGAAAATGAAGAACAAAT